GATGCGGGGCTTGATCCCAGGACCTGAGATCATGACCTGAGCCGAAGGCAGATGCTTTAATGACTGAGCCACCCAGGTGCCCCTGGATTATTAGAATCTTGGCCCCTGTGCATCTCCAGCCATTCTTATCTTCCTGCCCCAAGTCTCCTTTGTTTATAAGAGAAAGCCACTGCAATAAGATTTTCAGCAAAACCCCATCTTTATGTTTTTGGAATTGTTGGGTAGAATATTTATGTCTTGCTCTGTGTTTGAAGAATTGTGTAACTTTAAAAGATACTAGATTCAGTTGTAACAGTCAACTGAAGTAGCATTTGTTATTAGAAGTATTTTATTATGAAGATGAAGCATTGTTTCATAACTTCCACATTTCATTGGTCCTACTTCTCTCCCTGGCTTCCATAATTTCCAGGTTTGTTGTGGTGTGTGGTGATGGTGAGTATATCATCTACACAGCAATGGCATTGAGAAACAAGAGCTTTGGGTCTGCTCAGGAGTTTGCATGGGCCCACGATTCTTCAGAGTAAGTTTTGGCTTGTGCTATCCAGCTGGCCCTGATTGCAGATGGGTGATCTATGTGCAGCTGTATGAAACATGTTCCGAAGGCTCAGTGTTGGCTGTGCTTCTTCGTGTTCAAGGACAGTTCTCACCAGCGCTACCTTTGCCCTCTCTGTATTCCGTATTCAGCAAATTCACTCCAGCTCATCTAATAATCCCATTAAACTGGGGGCCTAGCACCCATTTCCTTGCTGGAGCCTGTGGCAGGGCCTGGTGCTTATGGATGGGCTCAAGACAAAGTAGGCTCTCCCTGTGACCTGTGTCCTGAGGTGCTGCCAAGTCCTAAGCCAACTGGGAGAGAGTGCGGTCTGATGTCTTTTTTTTTTTTTAAGATTTTATTTATTTACTTGAGAGAGAGAGAACATGAGAGGGAAGAGGGTCAGAGGGAGAAGCAGACTCCCTGCCAAGCAGGGAGCCCGATGCAGAACTCAATCCTGGGACTCCAGGATCATGACCTGAGCCGAAGGCAGTTGCTTAACCAACTGAGCCACCCAGGCACCCAGTCTGATGTCATCTTGATGAGAATTTCATTGAATCTTTTTTAAAACTCATTTTCTGTGATGTTACCCAACCCCCATTCTTAAAACAAATTCTGTCTGAATTTAAGAGTATTCATAAAATACTCTCATTAAAAAGAGGAAAAATCATTTAACTCTGAATTATCATACTAGGTGCTAATTCTTTATAATTCTTTATAGTAGGTACTGGTTACCGAGTGGTTCCTTCTTGATTCCTTTTTGGTGCGTGTAATATAAAATATTGGGGCTTTGGTTTTTTGTGACCGCACAAATGAATTACATCTTCATTTTTCTTAGTTTTGTTTCCTCCATATTTTGTATTGCCCCTGCCCTCAATAGTAAGTAACCTGAGCCTCAGTTTTGCATATAAGGTGCATGTTTTTAAATTTTTTAACAAGATATACTGAGAGATAAGAATTTGTTTCGATCTTTTCATAAATTTCCTAAATACATTCATACATGCAGTTCCAAATACTAAAATGTACTTTGATATCTTTTTAAAAAAAAAAATTATAGTTCATGGATTGCCTTATCACTCTTAACATACCTCTGTTTTGATAATTTGTTTTTTTTTTTTTTTTAGCTTTATCCAGCTAAGGCCCTATTCAGCATCTTTCCTATCTTGATAGGAATGCTCATCAGATCACCTCCTTAAATACTCTTGATTATCCAGCAACAGCCACAGTCCCTCTTTTCAGGAGGCCTGAATATACACAATGTTCTAAATTGTTGCCAAAAATGGCTGAGCCACATATAAAAGTTTTTATTTTTAAGTCACCTTTATTGAGTTGTAATTTATACAAAATTAAATGCACTATTTTAAATGTACATTTCAGTGAATTTAGGCAAATATATACAATCTGTAACTACTAGCACAGTCAAGACAACATTTCTGTCATCCCCAGAAAATCCCTTTGTTTTCCCTTAACAGTCATTTCCTTGGCTGCAGACAAACACTGATTTGCTTTTTGTCACCATGTGGATTAGATTTGTCTTAAAGTTTAATATAAATGGAGTCCTACAGTATCCACTCTTGTGTCCGGCTTCTTTTGCTCAGCATAATGTTTCTGAGATTCATCCTTATTGTTGCGTGAATCAGTAGTTGGTCCCGTTTTGCAGAGTAGTGTTCCACTGTATGAATATACCATAGTTGATTTAATCACTCACCTTTTGAGGGATGGTGGGTCTTTCTCAGTTTCTAAGATGTTTGTAAACCCTAATAATGTGTGTAATAGTGTAAAACCCGTAATTCATTACTCAGATACATTTGAAAATATTTCTAACATTTGATGCAAGTATGGTTTGGTATATAATATGCTATGTTTTCCCTTCCTTTCCCCCCAGATATGCAATTAGAGAAAGCAACAGTGTTGTAAAGATATTTAAGAACTTTAAGGAAAAAAAATCATTTAAACCAGATTTTGGAGCTGAAAGTGAGTGCTATTTATTTATGACACAATTTTAGAAGTTTTGCAGTGGCTCAAAAACATCTTAGCCAAAATCTTTTTTCTTTTTAGGTATTTATGGAGGCTTCTTACTGGGAGTCAGATCTGTAAATGGCTTAGCTTTCTATGACTGGGACAATACAGAACTCATACGCAGAATTGAAATTCAGCCCAAACACGTGAGTTTTCCCTCCATTGTTACTTTTGGAATGTGCACCTTTGTGAGGAGCTCTGGGTCCCTGAGGCAGAGAAATGTCCTTGTACCCAGCTGTCCCGGTTCCACTGTGTTGGACACAATACCATTTACTTCAAGATTGCTCAGAAAATCAGAATTGTAGTATATGAATGAGGCAGTAGACATTGGGTATTTTGAAAAGCATCAGAAGCTATACAAATGCGAAGTGCTATTCATGTTTTAAATGGCGTTTGACAGAATATAAAAAGTATGCTTTGAAGACAGGAAGTCAGGGAGCTCTTAACTTGGAAAGGGCTAGGAGCTCCCATACCATTCAGAAAGCCTTCTCATACTTTACCAGATGATGGCTGTTTAAACTTCAGGTAAATGTCTCCAGTGACAGAGTTTTCTACCTTTGGAACTACCTGCTGCTTTGACAGTTTTCATTGTAACAAAATTCTTTGGAGACAAATCCACCTCCCTAGGGTCCTGGTTGTGTCTTTTACAGCGTGCAGTCTGAGTGGGCACTAGTGCCCCAACGGGGCAAAAATTGGTTACTGAGGGTGAGGAAAATTCACTCTTTATCTATAAAGCATATCTATATGTATATATATATGTTATGTATATATATACACCATATGTGTATGTATATGTGTTACATATGTATAAGCATATGTACATACGTATATATATATAGTATCCATGGTATTAAAGTTTTATAGGAGAGGTGAGGAAAAAAATGTCTAAAATGGTTCCTGGGTGGGCATGATAATGAAAAAAAGGCTGAAAAACACTTTTCTAGAGCAATAGGGACTAGGCTGCTGCTCCTAAATTACAGCACGTACTGACAGCTTTCCTTCCTGTCTTGTCTCCCTTGGGTCTTTCCATTTCTAGGCTAAATAGTGAGGCACTGCCCTGTTCACCCTCCAAATACATACATACACATACGTACATATGTGTGTGTGTGTATCTACATATACACACTATGCACTACATAAAATTGTTAAATGCATACTTACTGTCCTAACATAAGAAGACAAATGTTAGAAACAAAGTGTATGCAGTTTGTCATACCACTCAGAAATCCGACATTGTTTGTGTTTTGTTTGTCATGTTGTAGATTTTCTGGTCTGACTCTGGAGAGCTGGTCTGTATTGCCACTGAGGAGTCATTTTTTATCTTGAAATACCTGTCGGAAAAAGTCTTGGCTGCACAGGAAACACATGAGGGAGTTACTGAAGATGGCATTGAAGATGCCTTTGAGGTAATTGACCAACACAACTTCAGCTTTGTTTTTAAATGATTTGTATTCGTATAACAGAACTTCACTGATTTTAATAAGTTAAGTTTAGGGAAAGTAAACATTTAAGGAATTCCAGTGAAATCTAAAAATTAAAGTCTTGACTGAAAGATCAGAGTTTGAAAGTATGTATGTTTAAAAGAAATTTGTACTTTTGATTTTAGGAAGTCTTTAGATTCATTTTGATATCTTTCAATAAGGAAATTAGAAGGTGTTTGGTCTTCAGACAGTTTACCCAGAGTGATTTACACGCTTTCAAATGGTAAAGTTAAATCATCTGTTGTGGAGATGGTCCTGGAAGATTTTATGAAATACCTCCTTTTCCAGTTTCATGTGTGTGAGTTTAGATCACCACTTTTTAGATCACAGCTCTGATGCAGCAGTGAGATTCTGCATTACAGATATACTCAGCCAGGAATCTGTTTTTAAATAGAGAAAGACGATAGAAATTCCAAGGAAATATTTTCTTTCTTTTAATTTTTTATTGTTATGGCAGTCACCATACATTACATCTTTAGTTTTTGATGTAGTGTTCCATGATTCATTGTTTGTGCATAACACCCAGTGCTCCATGCAGAACGTGCCCTCTTTAATACCCATCACCAGGCTTACCCATCCTCACACCCTCCTCCCCTCTAGAACCCTCAGTTTGTTTTTCAGAGTCCATCGTCTCTCATGGTTCGTCTCCCCCTCCCATTTCCCCCCCTTCATTTTTCCCCTCCTGCTATCTTCTTTTTTTTTTCTTAACATGTATTGCATTATTTGTTTCAGAGGTACAGGTCTGTGATTCAACAGTCTTGCACAATTCACAGCGTTCACCATAGCACATACCCTCCCCAGTGTCCATCACCCAGCCACCCCATCCCTCCCACCCCACCCCACTCCAGCAGCCCTCAATTTGTTTCCTGAGATTAATAATTCCTCATATCAGTGAGGTCATATGATACATGTCTTTCTCTGATTGACTTATTTCGCTTAGCATAACGCCCTCCAGTTCCATCCACGTCATTGCAAATGGCAAGATCTCATTCCTTTTGATGGCTGCATAATATTCCATTGTATATATATGGAAATATTTTCTTTCTTGTAGTAGGATTTTACTTTGCATTCCTTATTCTACCTTATCACCCCCAATCATATTCAGTTTTTGTTATTGACAGGATTTCTAATACTTAATAAGGTAATAATAGACTTTTCTCTCTGCAGGTTCTTGGTGAGATTCAGGAAATTGTGAAAACAGGGCTGTGGGTAGGCGATTGCTTCATTTACACAAGTTCTGTGAACAGATTAAATTATTATGTTGGAGGAGAAATAGTCACCATTGCCCACTTGGATAGGTAACTGAGTATTGTTTTGCTTTTGTCTCAGGCATCCTAAATTTAGAATTATGCTTTTTAAACAAAACCTCTTGCTGGCTTGTAGCACTGATAGGCTTGATTTTTCAGTGTATAGTTTTAGTAGGTTGGCTATTGTTGATCAAAATTGCATCAAAGTGGAAAGATTTTGAGCAAGAGGCAGGTGTGTGTGTACCTACTGATTTGGGCCTACTCCTAAATTAGTTTCTATTTGAGCAAGAGGCAGGTGTGTGTGTGTGTGTGTGTGTGTGTTTACCTACTGGTTTGGGCCTACTCCTAAATTAGTTTCTATTTGAGCACGAGGCAGGTTGTGTGTGTGTGTGTGTTTTTACCTACTGATTTGGGCCTACTCCTAAATTAGTTTCTATTTGAGCAAGAGGCAAGTGTGTGTGTGTGTGTGTGTGTGTGTATGTGTGTTTACCTACTGGTTTGGGCCTACTCCTAAATTGGTTTCTATCTGAGCACGAGGCAGGTTGTGTGTGTGTGTACCTACTGATTTGGGCCTACTCCTAAATTAGTTTCTATTTCTGTTATAGGACAATGTATCTCCTGGGCTATATTCCTAAAGACAACAGGCTTTATCTGGGGGATAAAGAACTGAACATCGTAAGCTATTCTCTGCTGGTTTCAGTGCTGGAATACCAGACAGCTGTCATGAGAAGGGACTTCAGCATGGCTGATAAGGTTCTTCCTACCATTCCAAAAGAACAGAGGACCAGAGTTGCACACTTTCTAGAAAAGCAGGTAAGTTTTTTGGTCTCTTTTTTTATTTGTTTGCTTCTTTTCTTTTTGGGTTTTTTTTTTTTTTAACCAATTTAAAAGAATGTTAGTATAGATTGGAAAACTATTTCTTTATTGCCGCTTAATGGCAATGGAATTTCTCCTGTAAACTTAAGTCACTTATTAGACTCTTCCTTGTCCTTTCTTAATGCCCCAGTACCTTTTTTTTTTAAAGATTTTATTTATTTATTTGACAGAGAGAATGCGCACACATAGGGAGAGGGAGGAGAGAGAGAATCCTAAACAGACTCCACGCTTAGCCAGATCCTCATGCAGGGCTCAGTCCCACAGTCCTGAGACCATGATCTGAGCCAAAAGCAAGAGCCAGATGGCCAACTGATTGAGCCACCCAGGGGCTGCAACTCTTAGTACTTTCTTTAAATGTTTGAAGCAATTATCAGTCTCTTCTTTCTGTAGACTTCTTTTCCATTCTGTCAGTATTTTCATTTTTTTTTTTTTAAGATTTTATTTATTTATTTGACAAAGAGAGACACAGCGAGAGAGGGAACACAAGCAGGGGGAGTGGGAGAGGGAGAAGCAG